TAAAAGCGTCTGTGTGTAAAAGGGTCTGTGTGTAAAAGCGTCTGTGTGTAAAATCGTCTGTGTGTAAAAGCGTCTGTGTGTAAAAGCGTCTGTGTGTAAAAGCGCCTGTGTAAAAGCCTCTGTGTGTGAAAATGTTGTGTGTAAAAGTGTCTGTGTGTAAAAGCGTCTGTGTGTAAAAGCGTCTGTGTGTAAAAGCGCCTGTGTGTAAAAGCTTCTGTGTGTAAAAGCCTCTGTGTGTAAAAGTTCTGTGTGTAAAAGCTTCTGTGTGTAAAAGCTTCTGTGTGTAAAAGCGCCTGTGTGTAAAAGCTTCTGTGTGTAAAAGCCTCTGTCTGTGTGTAAAAGCTTCTGTGTGTAAAAGCGTGTGTGTAAAAGCGTCTGTGTGTAAAAGCGTCTGTGTGTAAAGCGTCTGTGTGTAAAAGCCTCTGTGTGTAAAAGCGTCTGTGTGTCAAAGCGTCTGTGTGTAAAAGCGTCTGTGTGTAAAAGCGTCTGTGTGTAAAAGGCTCTGTGTGTAAAAGCGTCTGTGTGTGTAAAAGTCTCTGTGTGTAAAAGCCTCTGTGTGTAAAAGCGTCTGTGTGTCCAAGCGTCTGTGTGTAAAAGCGTCTGTGTGTAAAAGCGTCTGTGTGTAAAAGTGTCTGTGTGTAAAAGCGTCTGTGTGTAAAAGCGTCTGTGTGTAAAAGGCTCTGTGTGTAAAAGCGTCTGTGTGTGTAAAAGTCTCTGTGTGTCAAAGCGTCTGTGTGTAAAAGTGTTTGTGTGCAAAATCGTCTGTGTGTAAAAGACTGTGTGTAAAAGTCTCTGTGTGTAAAAGTCTCTGTGTGTAAAAGTCTCTGTGTGCAAAAGCGTCTGTGTGTAAAAGCGTTTGTGTGTAAAAGTGTTTGTGTGTAAAAGCCTCTGTGTGTAAAAGCGTCTGTGTGTAAAAGCGTCTGTGTGTAAAAGTGTTTGTGTAAAAGTGTTTGTGTGTAAAAGCGTCTGTGTGTAAAAGCTTCTGTGTGTAAAAGCGTCTGTGTGTGTAAAAGTCTCTGTGTGTAAAAGCGTCTGTGTGTAAAAGCGTCTGTGTGTAAAAGCGTCTGTGTGTAAAAGCGCCTGTGTGTAAAAGCGTCTGTGTGTAAAAGCGTCTGTGTGTAAAAGCGTCTGTGTGTAAAAGTGTCTGTGTGTCAAAGCGGCTGTGTGTGAAAGTGTCTGTATGTAAAAGCGACTGTGTGTAAAAGCGTCTGTGTGTAAAAGTGTTTGTGTGTAAAAGGGTTTGTGTGTAAAAGCGTCTGTGTCTAAAAGCTTCTGTGTGTAAAAGCGTCTGTGTGTAAAAGCTTCTGTGTGTAAAAGTGTCTGTGTGTCAAAGCGGCTGTGTGTGAAAGCGTCTGTGTGTAAAAGCGTCTGTGTGTAAAAGCGCCTGTGTAAAAGTCTCTGTGTGCAAAAGCATCTGTGTGTAAAAGCGTCTGTGTGTAAAAGAGTCTGTATGTAAAAGGGTCTGTGTGTAAAGCGTCTGTGTGTAAAAGGGTCTGTGTGAAAAGCGTCTGTGTGTAAAAGTGTTTGTGTGTAAAAGCTTCTGCGTGTAAAAGCTTCTGAGTGTAAAAGCCTCTGTGTGTAAAAGCGTCTGTGTGTAAAAGCGTCTGAATGTAAAAGCGTCTGTGTGCAAAAGCGTCTGTGTGTAAAGCGTCTGTGTGTAAAAGTGTTTGTGTGTAAAAGCTTCTGCGTGTAAAAGCGTCTGTGTGTAAAAGCGTCTGTGTGTAAAAGCGTCTGTGTGTAAAAGCGTCTGTGTGTAAAAGCGTCTGTGTGTAAAAGCGTCTGTGTGTAAAAGCGTCTGTGTGTAAAAGTCTCTGTGTGTAAAAGCTTCTGTGTGTAAAAGCGTCTGCGTGTAAAAGTCTCTGTGTGTAAAAGCGTTTGTGTGTAAAAGCGTTTGTGTGTAAAAGCGTCTGTGTGTAAAAGCGTCTGTGTGTAAAATCGTCTGTATGTAAAAGCGTCTGTGTGTAAAATCGTCTGTATGTAAAAGGGTCTCTGTGTAAAAGCGTCTGTGTGTAAAAGCGTTTGTGTGTAAAAGTCTCTGTCTGTAGAAGCGTCTGTGTGTAAAAGCTCCTGTGTGTAAAAGTGTTTGTGTGTAAAAGTGTTTGTGTGGAAAAGGGTTTGTATGTAAAAGCGTCTGTGTGTAAAAGCTTCTGTGTGTAAAAGTCTCTGTGTGTAAAAGTGTTTGTGTGTAAAAGTGTTTGTGTGTAAAAGCGTCTGTGTGTAAAAGCGTCTGTGTGTAAAAGCGTCTGTGTGTAAAAGTCTCTGTGTGTAAAAGCGTCTGTGTGTAAAAGCGTCTGTGTGTAAAAATATTTGTGTGTAAAAGTGTTGGTGTGTAAAAGTGTCTGTGTGTAAAAGCGTCTGTGTGTAAACGTGTTTGTGTGTAAAAGTCTCTGTGTGTATTTGCGTCTGTGTGTAAAAGCTCTGTGTGTAAAAGCTCTGTGTGTAAAAGCCTCTCTGTGTATAATAAAAGCGTCTGTCTGTAAACAGTTCTGTGTGTAAAAGCGTCTGTCTGCAACTTTACGAAAGATACGATGCAAACTATTGTCTTGTACTTGTAATATATTGTTTTGAAACTACTCTTCTCGTCTGCCTATAATACATCTTCAATATATTGTCTTGTAATTTAGTGTCTCCATACTAGCAACAGAAGACTTTGCTCGTCTACGCTCTCGGGCCATCCGTCGTCTAGTTTTTTGAATATCTTAGATGAACATAGATGAACATTGTCCATTGTAAAACCCTATGAGCTGTTGCATATGCCACGGCTACAGGAGACTTGGAGGTGGAGGCAAAGTGCTCACCTGCGAGGTGAATGCGGCTTCCTGGCAGCCTATGGGGATGGGGATGAAATTCGGCTTTTCTTGCTGAACTCATCCATTTTTTTGTGGGGTATGGCTGATTATAGGTGAATGAATCCAACATTTTTGGGCTATGGCTGTAAATTCTAAATGTCCCTGCAAGATTGATGGTCTAGTCCAAAACAGGACAGAAATTCAGCAATTTTGTAGGTCTATTGATGCAACATTGTTAAGTCATATCCAAACACCGCATATCTGGCAGTTCAAAGTCACCACCGGCAAGGGATTGGCAGGGGATAAGTTCGAATGTGGACAGGCGAAGTTGAGAACTGGCCAGCGTGTCAACTAACCCCTTCCGCCGAATATACGATGGTTTAGTAGGGAATTTACAAATAATTTGGGGCCATTTAAGGAGTGTTTAATATTAGAGGGATGGGAATAGCGTTATTGTCACACAATTATGCAACACACACACACACACACGCATTTTGTGACGGCAACTTTGATTCCATGGTCAAATAAGCACATGCATTGTCATGCATTCACCAAATCAGTGCGAAAACAAACATGGCTGTACACCTGCCGGGCCATTCAAAGTGACATTGTTCTGCTTCCAACTTCAAAGTTGCCATTGTCCAATGCTCTTTTGGTTGTGAAAAGATGTTTCGCATTATTGGTTAATTTGGTTAAGCACCTGTTGTTGCTGATAAACGTCCATCGCTATCCAGTGGTGAACGAGGGAGCTACTGTAAGGATATCCATATTCCCAACAGTTGGCATGGGGAGTCGGTTCGAGCCACGAAATTCCAGTCTCCCAATGGTTGTGAGCAGTTCTCTATGAGTACTAAATTACTAAATGAGTGAATAATGATGAATAATGGGTCATCCATAGCATAGCTGCCATAGCTATATACGGTAACGACATTTAAATATGTGGAGGGCGGGCCAGACCGTGAGGCCCCGGAGGTAGTATGAAATATGAGTTCGTATATTTAAAAGTCCGTATATTTAAATGTATATATATATATATATACATATTGTAATTATATATTAATTATTTAACATAGCCATGGAAAATGGCCCATTTATAGATGATTTTCCCAGCTAGAAACCTCCATTAATTTTAGGGATTTTCCATGGCTATGTTAACCAGATGGTATATATTAATATATATAATTATATATATATGGCAGTGTGTCAAAACCTGGTACCCCTAGTAGGACCCCTAGTGAACATCAAAATAGCTGGGATTTATGGATGTTCATCCCACTAAAAATGGTATTAATCGGTATTGATCCATACCCATATATATTAATATATGGTCAAACATGATGATTCCTACATGGTGCTGGACTCTCCGGTCCGCAGCAGCAGGTGAGTGCTTTGGTTGCTCGGCAGCTGGTTGCTTGGGCCAAGGCCCCAGAAGTAGAGGCAGGGCCCTGTTTTGGGGCACAGCTGGTGTTGCCTTGGAACTGCTGTATCAAATGGTCAAAATGGAAGCCAAACAATTGAAGATGTTGCCAAATACAGGACTTCAGCCACAATTTGGATTCAGAAAACGCCCCAAATGGAGATTTTGCCGTAACTAAATCGCAGGGATTGAAGCGATTTGATGGGGGATTCAATCGGAGTTTAACCAACAAAATGTGATGATTTGACAGCATAGAATTCTTTCCAACGTTTGTACATGGTGCATTGTACATGGATGAAGTGTGGCTGGCTGTAAATGTGTATACGTGCATGTTGATTGTACGGACGATGGTACATGTAGGCATATGTGCATGCTGCATGCATGCACGTATTTTTGTGGAGTTGTTTCAGATTGATTCTAGGTGATTTGCGAAGGCATAGGTTTGTTTTTGCCTTGTAGCGTCCAGAATAGTTGCCATGTTTTGATAAAGGGCCTTGCATGATGCTGTATAATGTTGCATCTACATCCGTGAATCCAGTGTTTTGAAGGTCATCCATGTCTTCTGTGACTGCCGCGTGTTTTTGGTGGCTCGAGTGACGGGGCTGTTTTCGAAGCCGCAGAAGCCGGAAGTGAGTTGTAGGATGTTGTAAGTTTTCTCAGAGCTTCAGGTTTCAAAACCATTCCATTCAGCACCAGCTGAATCAATAGGGCCCCCTGCATCAGCGTATCAGCCCAGCATGTGCGTTTTTTAGACATTGGTTGCAGCATGTTGGGAAGCTAGTAGAAGATGCTCACAGGTTCACAATCAGATTCCTTTGTGGATCGGAAACCCACTTTTTACGCGTTTCATCTTTGATCCTTGGTCGCAACCTGGGACGTGACGCTGTCCCACTTGGACGTCATATTCAAAAATGAATGGTAATGGTTACGGTAATGCCCCCAGAATCACTAGCCCGTGGATGTGGGTCTGTGACATGTTGACCTTGACTAGGTGCTAGCTGCAGTCCAGGTTTTTGCCATGTTGGGACAGAGGGAGTCGCACAACAGTCTAGCGGCAAGCCAAATACCATCGCAACATGTCGCAACTCGTGGTGACCCTTTACTAAAGTCATCTAAAGTCTTAGTGTTGCAAGGCGAATCCCGCAAGCATTATTATCCCATTATTATCCTATTATCCTATTATTATCCCACTATTATCCCATGATTATCCTGATCATCCCATGATCATCCCATTTATCCTCTCAGACCCACTTCGCTGTTTTCTCCCGCTGAGCCCACTGAGTTCAACTGGACTCCTGAGGTGAGGCTGATGTCGGTGCAGGGCGTATGCAAGTCCTTTAATGGTTGCTGGACTGACGAGAAAAAGATGTCGGGAAGTGGCGATTTTTCCGCCTCCGGATCTTTTGGATCAAAATTGATGCCCCCCAAAACCATCATGATAATCATGTTGAAATGGGAAGTCTTGCCACCTCTGTGTTCAGATCTAGTGTGTTTACCACAATGAGGTTCTGATAGGTCCCGATATTAACCCCGTCGCCATTTGCACCACAGAATGGTATAGGTTGATCTGCCATAAAGTGACCATTCTGTGGCAAATGAGTTTGAAAAATGAGGTCAGAGTTGCCATTTTGCAGTAATTAGATGTAATTAGTGGGTTTTGGCTGGTTTGTCTTTCTTTTTGAAGGCACAATGACTTATGGGCACCAAACCCAGCCATTCTGTAAGAGACATTTTGTAGAGGTTTGTTCAGGGTACGTTTTGTGTTTTAAAGATATTGCCACTTAGCCATTGACGAGAAAAAACTAGGTAGCCATTCTATAGAGAGCCAAGTGTTCCAAGACATTTACCGTTTTGTAAGTATAGTATATTAATATGTTTGTGTTTTGTGATGCGCCAGACTATGGTTGCCACGGTTGGCTCAGAGAAACTTGAGTTTGCCCGGACTCCTATCAAAGCCACCTGACAGCAATGTTCGCCCTCACGCACTTGGTGCTCTTGGCTCAGTGCATTGCGGTCTTGGGCGTCGTTGGGGATGACACCGCGAACTTTTCAGTTACAAAAAAACTGCCAGCACACTGTTTGCAAGAGGATGTCTACTTTGTCTGTTTGATTGTTTGCAGAAGTTGCATGAAGCAACTTCCAGCCCCGTCCAAAAAGGGACGATTGACAGGGTTTTGCTCTACAAAATGGCAGCGGGAAAAGGGCAGTTTGAGCTGTGTTCCTGGCGAGGTGGAAGCTCTACAAAATGGCCCCGTTTTTTCTTACAATTTCTTTACAAGCATAAATGCACATGTTTGATCGTTTTTGGATGAACATTTCAATCTGGTTGTGGAGACCAAGGTCTAAGACAGTTGACAGGCACTACCATTTTGTAGGCCATGAAGTGCCCAGGGTCTATGGCCATACCATTTTGCAGGCTGGAGAAGTGGTCCCAAAGCCATTTTGTAGACAAAAAGGCTGGCTCGCTACAAAATGGACCATGTCGACCCCACCCAGGGACCCAGCTAATGGTCAGGAGGATTTTATATAAACATCCTAATTCCTAATTGATGTCAAAGGGTATCACAAGGCAACTCCAAAGAATTCACCAAGCAATGGCCCAACAAATTAGATATTATTTTTTTAAACCTATTTTGCTAGACAACACCCTATTTGTTTTGGTTCATAGACAGCCAAAGTTGCCGTTATGATGGTGATCGTTGTAGTTGCAGTACCCCAATTCTTCAAATTTACGCGTGTTTTTCATGCTTGAGGTCGACTTACATAGTGATCAATCCGTTGTTCTACCCACATGTTTAACCATTCTTGGTCGTGGCCATGACCTACCCCTGCTCCTGTGATCCCAGAAGCTAAATAGATGGGGAATAAGTATGTATATATAATATGATTGTAATATATGAAGTACGGTCAAAACTCTGGTATACTACTTTTGTAAAGGAGAGTTCTCTTGTGCCTGGAAAGTGCTCCAAACACTGTGTAGCGATAGGCCCCGCAAAAAAAGCGATACCTATAATTGTGCATAATGTCCTCATCTCAAGTTGTCTTGCATAAAGTTGCGTACTTGCAAGGGGCGAAATTAGCGATACCCCTAGCGATACCTTAGCCATACTCATTTGTTCAAAATTTAGTCCCAGACCACAAATAGACCCTTTCCCGTTCCCTTTCCCTTTCCTTTTCTTTTCCTTTTCCTTTTCCTTTCCCTTTCCTTTTCCTTGTCTTTTCCTTTCCTGTTCCTGTTCCCTTGCCTTTGCCTTTCCTGTTCCTTTCCTTTTCCTGTTCCTTTTCTTTTCCTTTCCTGTTCCTTTTCTTTTGCGTTTGCCTTTCCTGTTCCTTTCCTTTCCCTTTCCCTTTCCTTTTCTTTTCCTTTCCGTTTCCCTTTTCTTTTCCTTTCCGTTTCCTTTCCCTTTCCTTTTCCTTCCTTTTCCTTTTTTTTTTACAAAACCATGGATAGCGATAGGACGCCCCCAAAAGCGATACCCTTTTTTCGGGAACTTAGCGAAGACAATGAGTTTTGACAACGGCTCATATGATTATTGTTCCTTAAAATGGGATATGTTCGTTACCTATGCAGGGATATTTTGATGCAATATTGGTAGTATTTATTGCATGGGTACAGGTTAGCTATCATTACATCGGTAACACATATTACTCCCTATCAAAAAAAAAGGATACGTCCCCTCCTTTTATGAATAGGGACAATACAATATACATGACTTGGTTTAAGTATAACAATCCCATCCCATATGAATATATGTACCCTCCGGTATTGAAAAACATGGGGATTGAAAAACCATGGCAGTAAATGGAGATTTCGAGCTGGGAAAATCATCGAATGAACTGGTGGATTTTCCAGCCAATGTCCCCATGATATTTCCCGTGGATATTGTTGATTGTATCCCATCATATCCCATTAAAATGATGGTTATAACCACCATTATTCCCATGAAATATCATCCATCCCCATGATAAATGTCCTAACCCCCATGATGCTATCCTGATGATATCCCAATTCCCATGATATCCCCATGATATTTGAGCTAAATCCCCCAGTCGTCCCAGTCCAACCTGATCATCCCCAGGGATTTCTTCAGTCGAGGTGCCAAAGGCTGGGGCTTCATCGACTTTGGCGGCACCGACATCTTTGTCCATATCAAGGCTGGTGGCTGGTGACCCATGGGCCATCAATGGGCCCATGGAGGGACCTGGGGAACTCACTCTTTGAAAAAAAAAGGAATGGTCTTGGATGATGTTCACTCTTGAAGATACTTTAAGATTCATAATTGATGCTGAACATGGGCTGTTTTTTCGACTATCCAATCGTGGGGGTTCACCTCCAAGAGTGTGGATGCTGCTGAGAAGGTTGGACGGGATGTTTTATGTTTGATATTTGATGACTTATATGACTTGTCATCTTCAGGGTCCAGTCCTTTTTGGCTTGACACCCAAATACAAATAAGTACCCCTGCAAAATTGTTTGTGCTGTTCGATTTCCAAAATACATCAAAACACTCTTCATGTTTTCAGTGGTTTAACCGACTTTGTCACCATCTTTGGGATGGGGAAACGAAAAATGGAAAATCCTATGGTATATGGTGAAGTTCCACCTGGAAACACAAAAAACACCTGGAAACCAGGATTGCTTGGGAGATAAGCAGCCAACCCGCGGAGACCTCTTGAGCTTCGACATGGAACAGCGCCTTGGAGCCTGAACATCAGCGTTCCTAAGATGTGATTTGTTGTGTTATATCCGGAACCTATTGCAAAGTGCTCATTCTCGGATTTGATAGCAGAATGTGTTGAAATATGTCGAAATATATGCTATTTACTTTCGTGGGGTAAATGATGGTACCTAGATATACCTACATTATCTGATTGAAATCTATCAATCTACTCTTCCTGTTTATTGCACATGTTAGAGTCCTAGTACAATCAGCCTGCGGTACAGTCTGCAGCCATCCATGTCCAGCGGCAAGGAATAAAAACAAACCTGGCCAGATGCAAGCAAAAAACGTCGTTGGAGGCAGGGTTGATGCCGCCACAGCCGCCACAGCCAAGTGTGGAGCCGAATCTAGCGGAAACTGCGGTGTGTGAGTTTTGCAAATGCGGTGGGAGCCATTTCTACACTGTTTCTTATCTGTCATGTTCACAGATATACTGATTGTATGGAGTCAACTTGCATTGAACAAGATCTGAATGTTCCTTCGGTTTACTGGATCAGTAGCAACTAGGGCCAGGAATCGCAGAATATCAGAATATCATTGATTTCTTCCATGTACAATTGGCTTGCATTGTTCACCCATATTTTGGTCAGTTTATGGCTGATCACATAATTTTCCATCCTGGTTTTGGCTGTTGACACCCCTGAACATTCCCATTTTGGGCTAGTCAAGTCTCGATATTTGTCGGCTAAGTAAATCACCATATTATTCTTGATGAAATCCATATGTTTTCAGAGATTTTTCGATGGATTTTGATGGGTCAAACCGTGTCAGGGGGTCCGTTTTTGCTGAAGATCTCCTGCCCGGGTCGGAGCGTGGCCAGGCTCTGCGCCGCGCGAGCCCTTGGGCGGATGTGGAGGCCCATACGGCTTGCATGGGTGAAGGCATTGTCTAGGGCCATGACTATACAATTCTAAAGGTTAGATTAGGTGAATTGTATGGCTATGATGTTTTTTGGTTTTCCGATTTTTGAGATGTTATGCGCCTCAATATGATGGTTCGCTCATTTCTTTGGGATAAACAACCGGCTACATCATGTTGAATTGATTCATCCAACAGCTTCACATATGAGTTCCTGCCCCCAACGCAACCCAGAAGGTTTTGATGGGAACTGTTGGCCAAAGGAACATGACAAGACATGTCAGTAGCTATGTTGCTGAACACTGCTGAAAGGCAGAGAAAGTAGCACTTTATTTGCCGCAGAGCTCCATCACCACATGCTGTTCCGTGCCAGGAATGATGGGTATGGACAGTGGTTGCGGTGGTGCACCACAATTCCAGCCCATGGGACAAGCCATGGGACAAGCCATGGCACAGCCGGGTCAGCCCATGGGACAAGCCATGGCGCCGATGGGCATGGAGGGCTATGGCCTGCCGGCTGTGGCACCCATGGGGCAGCTGCCGCAGATGGCTCAGATGCAAGCGGCCACCACTCTTCCTCAAGTGGGGGTGACCATGCCGGCCACAGTGACACACGTGCCAGGTGGGGGTGCGGCCGGTGCTGGTTTCCGGGGATACCCGGAGCTTCCAGCAGAATTCCAGCGACACATAGCGACACAGAACTGATTCTCAAGATTCTGCAATATAGATACTGCACGCAGTACTCATACATTGATGTTGCTGGAGGCTTAGGTCTTTGAGGTAATCCCCAAGAGATGGTTTACAAGCAACAAGAGACATGTTATCAACCGGATCCGTGTTTGGGAAAATCCAGTCACTTTCGAGTGTACTGAAAATGAATGCAACACTGAATGCACTCAAAATTCATAGAATCATAGAACATACAGATTTTAGTAACTCCTGGGTGTTGGTTGAACATTGGTCCAGTCAGCTCCTATCAGGCGCAGTCTTGCCCTCCGGAGTGCGTCACCAAGGGGTGGTCAAGGCGAGGTGCGATTCACCCAATGCCTGAAACCTCCACTTTTTAGAGGGTGTCTAAGAATCCATTTTACGGGGAGGGGATGGTTTACCATTGGCTTTGCCACACCAGATGAATTTAGATCAACTAGTCACACTAGTTCGAATTGCAAAACTCCTGACACAGTCTTGGTCATGGATGGTGCGGTTCTGTTTAATGCTTCAAAGGCGAGGAATCATTACGCACTTGTATATTATATATATTATTATGCATTAAAAAAAGTAGCTCCATTTCCCCAATATTAATCACCCCCTACATGGTCCCAACTAAGTTTGCACTGTGGCAGCCTTGGTGGGGTAGATGGCAACAAGAAAAAACAAGTGGTACCCTCTGGTAAACGAACATAGCGAACTGGAAAATCACCATTTAGGTGGTATAATATATCTATAATATATCTATAATAATCTCTAAATGGGCAATTTTCATCCATTTTTCATAGTTATGTTAGTTTTCTGAAGGGTCATCGCTTTTCTCTAGCCTTTTTTTGAGCCCGCCATGTCAGGCTTGGAACACTGAGAAGGGCTTCGGCTTCGCCAACGTGTAATGGCATGGCGTTGTGGGGGCTGGCGAAGGGACCAACTGATGGCTATCATCCCCCCTTGTAATCCTGGAATAGTTTTGTTGCGGGGTATAGGGTTACAAAGAGTCTGAGAAATATTTTACCTGACCACATGAAATATACCACCCCACATGTTTCTTGGGCCAATGATTCAAATAGTCGCACCATTCCTTTCATGATGATGGAGATCTCTCTGTTTGCCGGGTGCTTGGATGATCTCTTTTGTATAAACTCACATGAAGTCAAAACTCCGGCAGATGTCCGCATCTGAAGCTGTTTTCTACAAGGTTGCAGACAGACACGCGAGAGTCGAAATTAGCGGTACCCCGAGCGATACCTTAGCGATATCCACTGTTCAAGAACCAGCCTCAAGGCCCTTTCCTCCTTCCCTCTTCCTTCCCTCTTCCTTTCCTCTTCCTTTCCTCATCCGGAATGAGAGACGCTGCTTCCTCTCTTCCTTTCCTCTTTTTCATTTCGTCTCTTCTTTTCCGGTCTTCCTTTCCTCTTCTGTTTCTTTTCCTGTCCTCTTCTTTTCATTTTCCTTTCCTGTCCTTTTCCTTGCACAGTTTATTCCTCCGTCTTCACCGATGTAGCGATAGGCGATAGAGAACCGACCAAAGCGCTACCCTTTTTTTTTGAGCAAGGCGAAGACAAGACAACGGACAACGGCTCACATAGATTAGTTCCTAGATTGAAAATAACACCCACAAACACAACTCACTGATAGCAAGGATCCCAACTCCCGTCCCGTGCCCCCAATGACCAGCGGGTCACACGCCGAGGTGGAAGGTTGTCCAAATCCCAGTTGACGACAGCATTTTTGGTGGGACATCATGATACATCATGGAAATCCATGGGTTTCCCCTTGAAAATGATCTACACATGGTGGATTTTCATGGAGAAAATCCATATCTTTGTGTATATGTTGGAGGGTAATGGGACATAGCCGAATATAGCCGTCATAGTTATGGGATATCAAAACTGCTGCCATGTTCTTCTTCATCCTGCGTTCGAGACCGGAGTTAAGCGACACTGAGACGATGATATCTTCGTCCACATTGTGGACTGTGTCGACAATCAACGGCCAGTGGGCTAGCTCAGTTTCCAGTGGGAAGGCTAGCCATGGGCGATTTCCCTAGAACACACAATTCAAAGCACCCTTTGGAAAGCCCGAAGTAAGCGGTGCGTCATTGGATAATTCATGAAGCCGGAGCTCTTCACACCCCCAAACAACGTTGGGGTGAAGCAGGGCACACTGGCTACAACCCTGAGTTTGGATACATGTCAAAGGATGGCAAGTGCTATCACAAGAAAAACCAATGTCTCTTGGGTGTTTCTATTTGCATTGAACCAAGGTTCTTCCCAAGCATCCCTGGCACACATACATGGCATTACATTGCATTAACACTACATTGCATTGCATTGCATACATAGATACATAGATACATTAGATCATTGGTTGTGGTTTTCACCCATAACCAATATGAAAAATCTCCATAAGTCCAGTGAATGACCTGGGCAGCAAACGGTGGCCAGGTCGTGGGAGATGTGTTGACCTTTGAGACGGAAACCAGTCAAAAGAAGGACGGCAGCTATGGGACGATTATATACGGTGTCACCCCAGTGATGTTTACACAGCTCAGGCTAGCGTCTGAACGGCCTGTGTTTATAGATGTTTTATAGATGTTTTATATATGTTTATAGTGAGGGCCATGCATATGAGTGCATATGGTCAGATGGATGTGTCTGAGTTTCAGAGCCCATTTGATGCAAGTTGAGGGAAGTTACGGATGGGCTTGTTGGAATCGAGGGACTAGTAACCAACATTAGTCAACTGAAACCACGAGATTCTCATGTCAGAAAGGTTGAATGATGTTGAATGATGTTGGCAGAGCTTATTTAGCCTCTGGCAAACTAACATAGCGAACTGGAACATGGGCCATTTTCAATAGCTATGTAAGAAATTACCAGAGGGTACCTTATTGGCTTCAATGGGATTCAACGAATGGTTCTCCTCAGGACGGCACGCAGAATATGAAAGCCAAGAATGTCACAGGCGACGGGACGATGGCCCCGTCAGATGACGGGAACTGGGAAGGAGAACAATGGCCCGTTGCGAAAAAAGGACAGAGGTAATACTGCATACATCTGCATCAACCCAATCCTCATCCTGACTTTTTCACTACAATCAGCCCATCTCAGCCATACCATAAATTTACATTATATTCTATATACACTCTCCAGTAAACTATGAAAAACATGGAAAAACTCCATGTGTGTTTTCCCCTGGACATAATCTACACATGGTGGATTTTCCTAGGTCCTATTTTTTCTATATTTACGACAGAGGCTATAAATTTCAGAATTACCCACCAGGATCCTTCAGGGTTTTTTAGTGGCCGCTCCCAACGACTGTCCAGCGGAGGTGGCACAGGTGGCTTGCACGTTCACAAGCAGGGCGGCAGCTTTGGACCCATCGGAATCAGAGAAGGTTCGGGTCCGGGGGACGGTGGCAAAAATAGACCTGGGTAGCTAGGGGCTAGTACGAGTAGTACCTGGTCTAGAAAACTGGTCGTTATAACATGTAAAAACTGACATATTGTAAATGTCTTGGTGTATTTGGTAGGAAACCATAGCACATCTATACATGTTGATGCATTTTCCAAAGGTGAGGTGCTGGTCTCTGACTTAATTTTAAGACTGGGGATCTCAAGAGTATACCCCAAAGTCCCAGCACACTGCGGCTTGTGCAATGCAGCATGCAGTCAGGAAAATTGAGGACACCAAAGCCCAGATTTTCCTGATGGAAGTTTAACATAGCTAAGATGGCCCATTTAGTTCGATGATTTACCCAGATCGAGATCTCTTAAGATATCAGAGAGTGGCTAACATGACGGACTGCTTACCTCATGGGGATCAACACATCATCAACCCGCAGATCAGAGTGGAGATTTTGACCAGCCAAAATGGTCAATTTTGTTGGTAGATGTAGATAGATGTAGACAAATGTGGTTTAATGAAGAGAAAAACATGAATTTGATCACAGGCAAGCGGGAGAGAGAAATTTCAGACCCCGCTCACGACTCATGACAGAGCATCCATTGCAGATTTGAAGACTGCGATTCTTCTAATTATTTTCTCCTCAGAAATGTACAAGAGTATCATTTATATTCATTTATGGCAAATGAATTGGATCAACTTTGAAACATGCTGGTTTCAACATGTTTCAACTATGTTCTTTTGAATCCACAGAAAATTGAATCATGATCCCAAAAAAACATGAAGATGCACCAACAGAATCGTCTTCGGACTGCATTTAATTTCCCTCAAAAAAATGCAATTAGAACTTATCACAAAAAAGGCGCCTTATTTTTTCCACAAAAAAGGGTTTGTCTGAAAATAGGATACCCCCTAAATCCCACTTTTCATCATAATTTTCCCTATGAAATGGTCCTGACTTGGGGATACCACCATGTTCAGACAAACCCATGCCCTTAACTTTGTTTCTCAAATCCCCCCCAAAAAATCCCATTCAATTCAATATATTCAATCACCATAAACATAGAAATTCCCTCGAAAATCACATACAAATCACCATAAAAATCACATAAAAAATCACTGGTTTTTTCGGCCTCCAAGGCGGATCTGGAGCTGGACCCTATTCAGGTTGGAACTGGGATGCTCCCCCAGTGGAAAATCCCCAGGAAATCGAGGTTTCCCGGGGACCAAATGATCGAGGTTTGACGACGAATACATCTGCAGATACGCCAAAAAAACACATCACCGAAATGGAGTAAAGTTTTGAAGCACTTGATTTTTGGGCACCTCAATTTTGACCAAACTTGTATAATTTGGTGTTTTTTGGTTGAAATGATACTTTCCTCCACAAAAAGCTGGTTTGACAACAACTTGGCATAACTTAGCATCCAATTGAGTGGTTGGTAGCCATGACCAAATTTCTGGGAGATCATTGAGAGGTCATTGCAAGTGGGCACCCCGATACCCGGATGGATCCCCCAAATGGTGCCATAACATGGTCTGATGCGTCCCTTGGCGACCAAATGTTCCCATGGGTGGTCAATTTTTTTCGGTCTGCGGAAACACAGGTTGTCTGTTTTTTTTTAGAAATCGATCATCGAAATTGTCTTGTATCAAATCTAGACCGTGACGAGTGACGACTCAGGCGCATTTTCCATAGGAAATCATTTCCAAATGGTGGATTTTCGGACGGTAATGGTTGTACTTGTGGTTCAAACTACCTAGTGATCAGTTTTTTTCAACGTTTATGCGGTCAATGAACAGGACCAATCCCACTGGTGTCATGACCGGTGCTCGAGAGCTCTGCATCCCGAAGTTGAAACATTTGTAGTGGAAAAATCTGCAATTTCGATGGTCAAAATCATGTTCTTGGTGGTGATAGCACCATTTTTCGCGCTGATAGCTCCAAGTTTCCTGGCTGAGACACTCCAGCATCCAATGGTATCATCATTTCCTCATTCAAATTGTTATTTTGTAACCCCCCCCCAATTTGGAAATGAAGCGACACATCCATATGGTAAAGTATGGTGAAACAGTGAAACGTGGTATATTATGTGTAATATACAATATAATATAATCTTATATATATAATATATATATATATAATTATATTATACATAATTATATATATATAATATTTAAGATTTTAATAGTACATATTAGACCAACATGTTTTAAACATATAATATGATCTGGTATAATATGATGTATAATTACTGTATGTATATATATATAATATGATTATATACATATTATATATACAAATGTATAATTCATTATAATGTGGTGTAATGAAATATAGTGTAGCACAATGTAATGTCATGTAATACAATACACTTCTTTATCCCCAGATATCTCCATCGGCCTTCCGCTATGCTTCCATGCCGCTAGGCGCCCCAAAGCCCCAAAGCGTCACTCTGCCGCCAGTGGGCGCGGATGGACGATACCAAGGTGTCATGAAGGCCGAAATTTAGCGGGGTTTAGGGGCTCGATGGACTGGTTTAATGGAAACAACATTCGGAAACCATGTTGTTTACCCTGGGGTACCCTCTGGGAAACTAACATAACTATGGAAAATCACCATTTTTAATGGGAAAACTCACTATAAATGGCCATGTTCAATAGCTATGTTAGTTTACCAGAGGGTAAAACTAAAAGATTTGGACGAACCCATAGTGTCCCTGCAAAAATGATCATTTAATTAATACTGTAAATGGTGGGTTTTCCACATCTATGTTATTCTATGTTAGTTTACGGGAGGGTACATTTTTTCAATATCGAAAACAACGGTTAGAACATTTGCAGTTTTTGAAGGTTGGACCAACATCATCGTTTAAACACCGAGACGTTTAGGGATATGTTTTTGTGCTTTACCCCAAAAATGCGGTTGCAAGCATCAAGTGAGCATGGGTCAAACTTGTGTATCCCTGCATGGCATGGTTTAACAACGAAACCAACATTGTGAATTCTCTTGGGCCTCATATTTTGGCCATCTGCTTTTCCCCCTTTTTGAAGCAAACCACTTCTCCTGCTGCGGTGCTTGCATTCCCAGTGTGGGCGGTTATGTTCCCCATTGATGGTAGTTGTATCATGCAAATGTACCCACTGCTGGTAGTCAAACCACCATTGTTTTGGTCAGAATCATGTCGTCATCTCTAAAATTTGAGCCCAAAATCCCAAACAGTCTTAATCATGATGTATCATATTCCTTCTCAAAAAATGACACAAGAATTGCAATGATATGGTCAACTTAATCAGAATCCATTCCCAATATTATACTGTGAATGGGGTGGATAGGAACCATCGAGACAGGCTTGGAATTCGGAGAAGGGTTTCGGCTTCTGCTCTGTGGGGGCACCTAGGGGCATCAACGTTGGAGACGAGGCGTCAAAATTATTGACCCCCCAAAAAAACAAACACCAAATGATGTATTGATGATTATTGATGTACTTAATATCTTAATATCCGGCTGTTTGTGGTTCAATTCTATAAACAACAGGTTTTGAGCCGTATCTTCAAACAGCTGGGCATCAAAAATCCTCGGCATCAATTATTACATTTACATTATAAATTTACAATGAATCTATGGTTTCCCAATTTGAATCTACCTGTACCATTTTACCCAAAAAGCTGGGGATGGTATTTAGATCCATCCAGCACCATATCTAGCCCCGAGTTAGACGGCATGGCCAATGATATCTTCGTCCACATTGCGGACTGCATCGGCACCCAGCCCCAGGTTGGAACCAGGGAGGGGCGGGGGTCTGGGAAGAACGCCCCTTTGACCAACCAGTTGGTGGCGATGAATGAGGCTTCACTGTAAATACAAAGTGGTTATATATATATGGTGATGATTCATGATAATTAACTAATTTTAGTGAAGCAATAGGAGTCACCAAACTTTGCCATAAATGGTTGGTATAAAGCATCAACATGTGTTTTTTTGCTTACATTACATGGTGAAAAAAACAAGATGGGATTGTTTCGATGACTCCCGATCTCGTAGCTGGAAGAACAATATGCACGAATATATGATTGCATATTTGAATTGATCCCAATGAGTGATTATGATGCAACCAAACCAATTACATACATTCATGAGTGTATACTGTATGTATATACATGTGTATACACACACAGAGACGTATTCAGGAACATGTACACACATGTACATGCATACATATTACATACTTAATATAAATGCTCTGCAATGACTGCTTGCTTGCATTATTTGTGAAATGCAAGAACCTGACTGAATTTCTAAATACGCACACCTAATTTTTATGGACCAAACTACGATGTCAGACATGTGTCCTTCCAACCCTTTTGTTTGTTCCAACCGCTTTTGTTCCACATCAACCTGTCAACATTGGCTGTTTGGCAGGTTGGAGACGTAGTTAGCCACTTGGATATGCAAGATGTGACATGTGAGTTGAGAATAATTGAGGCAAGAATACCAGCCGCTTCGACTGTACTAGTAGGGAATTATTTCTCTGATGGACATCCAAGCGCCTTGCAAAGCCATGGCGTATCAGTACATACCACCCCTCCGTAATGAAGGCTATTGACATTTTTCGGACATTTTTCCACCATTGATAACTGCCAGTGGATTTGTTCACATTTTTGCTTGCGATGGTATAATTTTCGTCTATGGCTTCTGGGCTTAGTTGCCACGTCTTGATATCCACCAAGTCACCGGGACTCGCAATCTGCCGTCGCACCTCGAGGTTTCGAGACGGAGCCAAGCCACAAGAGGGATGGCACCACCAACTTCAAAGCCAAGAATGTGACTGGTGGCAGTGCAGCCCTGAAACACTTCCCGGGTGGTGGTGGCGACCGAAAAGTGGAGGAAGCTGCCACTTTGACCGCTGGGGCCCTGGATTTAGCTGCCCTGCAACTGCAGGGTGCGGCCTTAGGTGCCCTGCCCCAGCTGCAGCTGGCTGGGCTCCAGGGCTTGGGCTTCCAGGTGCCTGGCCTCGGGCTCGGGGCTGATCCCACTCTGCTGGGCATGGCCGGCATGGCTGGGATGGGTCTGGTGCCGGGCGTGGGGCAAACGGCGCCGGAGGCGGCTGGACAGGTGTAACGTGGAAGGAAAAAAACAGCGGCGACCACGGCAAGGGCAGTCGGCGCAGTCCTTGCTGAAGCTGAGTTTCTTGGGGGTTGTATCTTTCTAATGTGGGCAAACCAATAGTCAATATAAATCTACCATGACTGGGGATGATTTACGGAATCCATAAGAATGGTGATTTTGGGGATGGTTTATTATTAGGTTTACAATGGTTTACATCGGTTTACCGCATTATACCATGTTGATCCGCGTGATATCTGATAGTACCCCTCAACCCCTTCATGCAACAGGTGAGTTTGAATCCATTACTAGAGCGGCTTTTGGTCTCCATTCCTGACCATCCTTCTCCGGAACATTCAATTTTCTCACCCTATCCAGCTGCAAATTCAGACCCGGACCGTTAGGTTCTCTCAAGGAAAACAATCCACAAAAAAAGATAACCCAACCAAAAGCAAGTCGAAAGTCAACACATATCCAACAAAAATGCTTTGAGATCAAATGATCCAACCAGGTGAAGGTGGGCCTTGCTACTGATTGGCTGCAGCAAATGGATCAACTGGGCGTCCCAGATGTCAGGGGCTTGATGTCTGGGGAAAACCAAGGGAGCCTTGGCTGTTTCTGATATCCCAAACTTTCGTTGGGAGGCGAAAAATGACCACATCTTGTCAGGTTATCAGATCTCAGTTTATCTTTGAAAATTGAATAGCCGTATCTTCATGGCACAGAAAATAGACATCCCAGAATCCAAGTGGACCAGTACAAGGTCAGCCAAGTGTCGAGCCTTCTATTTTCAGACTCGAACCCCCTAGGCCTAGCGACTTTTGGTGGCTATGAAACATGCAATGATTCCAGTTGAAACTCACGTTTTTTGGGCGCTTAAAATCAATGTTCTCTTTGCTAAACTGCCTTTTCTGATGGGTAAATCACAATTGTTCACCCCACCATTTTTGATGAATCACCACTTCTGTTGGCAAACCCTAACAATTTCAATGGGTTGAACCACCAATTTTTGTGGGTTAAAACCAGGTTGAATCCCAATTTTTGTGGGTTAAACGGTTAAACCATGTTTAAGTCACCATTTTTGTGGGTTAAACCATGTGAAATCACAATTTTTGTGGGTTAAACCATGTAAAATCCAATTTTTTGTGGGTTAAACCATGTTAAATCACAATTTTTGTGGGTTAAACCATTTTTGAGACCTCCAAGACACCAGCCCCCGGCTCCGAGGTTGTCGTCCTGGACCATCGTGGTGCTCGCTACCATGAGGACCGGACTGTGTTTTTTTTTTGATTTTCATGAGGAGTTTAGAATCCCTTGGGATGATCTGGGGAATTTCAAAAAAAACACGGTGGGATTTTAACCACGGTGAAATGTGTGCCCGCAGCAAACTCGGTGGCTTTTTTTGTTTTTTTTTTCACAAAGTCCAAAAAAAAGAGCCCGGGATGGCCATCAGGATTTATCCACCCTTGAAGCGCAGTTGCGGACGAATTCTCGAATCCTTGCAGATAACGTTTGGCACCTCAGCGTGTCCTGCCTTGGAGCTTGTCTGAACTGTGGGATTTAGCCTACTTGTGGCTTAATCCTGAGATATCCTGAGCATTTCTGCACATCTAACTGGTTGTTTTTCGTATAGGAAAGACATGGAAATACCTCTGGTCTAGTTGAGAACGAAACATCAAAGAATAGATTGTCCAAGTGGGTGTCGCCATCTTGGGATTTCATTCCCGACAGGTCAGGTTTGGAACATACTTGACACTGCATGATCTGCCCAGACTGATTTTCCTTCTTGCCAACAAAATCTATGAAGTTATAAAGTTGCTATATTCAGTTCAATGAGTCCCTGCCATTGTGATGGTGCTTTACTTTTTTAATACAGCTAGAGTAATGTCCCCAATGTTGGATTCCTCAAAGTAACCAGTGGAAAAATGACTAGCATTTTCTTCAGCAAATCATCTTATTTCAACCTAGTTGAATTGCAACATATTAAAATGGACATACCAGTATTAGGGTACCCCTTGGTAATTTGACATAACTATGGAAAAATCATGATGTTCAATAGGTACATCATCAAACTACATGGGCCATCTATACCACAGAAGGACTGTTCACTGTTCCAGACTTCTCAGGTGCTTTCTCCGGGCGCGCCGGGGGCGCCAAGCTTTGGGTTTAGCCGTTAGGCATGAGAATAGAAGCACAAATCAAACGGCTCTGGCTCAGAGTGTCTTGGATCCCAGCAAAAGGTGGTCCTGAAATTTTGAGCCATGTCATGCCACTTCTATATATGGGGATGGCGCACTGAAATTTTGTGGATTCCAATGTAGCAATGCGATGCAACCAGCAATACGATGAGATGTCACATCAAAAGATGGTATATAATCTCTGACAAACTCAAGAAAGTAGGCCCTCACGCCCTCAGGCCACTGATTTGGTTGAGGAATTTAAGACCTGGTGACTTGAACCTCGAGTATGTACCAGCTAAGACCCTTTGTGCCGTTTTGGGGGCAAAGCACTGTCTATTAATGTTCATTCGAGTTTCCTCTTTTACTATCTACATGTTATCCATTTTATAATAATTACATACAGTACATATGTGTTTATATTCATTTCTTTTACTCCATGTGTTCCATTTGTTATATCTGTTTTATTATGTTTATATAATATAACATAATATACAGTAACATGACATAATATAATATAACATAATATAATATCATATATATAATATAGGTGATGGGATTTAGATCAGTAAATCGAGCCTCTCAACTGGTGCACCGGTCACTAGTCGTTTGATTGTCGACTGAGGCCTCTATTCCTGAACTTCGTGGACGGACGCTATGCCATCGCCATTCATGAGGCATCTCCAAGAAAGGTTCTTGTAGATGTGTCCCATGTTTCCTGCAAAATGCTTCCTTAAATTTGATCATGAGCCATTTTCAAAAAATCCATCTTTGCAGTTCAGCTTCGTCGTGTAAATGATCTCTTGGGAAAATAAAGGGCAAATCTCCCTCCGTTGGGTCGTTGGGTGAATTGCCAAGGTAGATGAGTTCTTGAGGGAGCGAAAAGACTGGGCACCTCGGACGGAAAACTCTGGTTTTTCGACCTGCAACGGCTGGAAAATCCCCTAGCCATGGAGGTCCGCCTGGAAAATCATCAATGGCGGATGTACTGTGGAGGTGTTGGAGCAGCCAAAATGATCGGTTGAATCTCCATTTTGGGATACCCTCTGGTAAACTGTCCCATAGCTATGGAAAATCCACCCATTTTTAATGGGAAAACTTACTATAAATGGCCATTTTCCATAGCTATGTTAGTCATTACCAGAGGGTAAAACCTCCGATTTCTCTGAGGTCGTCGCTTGCATGCCACGGCACCTTGAGTACAAAGTCAAGCCCGTGCCCGTGGAGCGGGAACTCCAAGTTGCTGGGGGACATGACGTTAGCAAAAAAAGAAAAAGAATCAATGGGCGCCAAATAGAACGAAAAGTCATCATGTTTATTCATGTTTTTGAGTATTTGACGTCAATTTTCATGATTTGGAGCCACGGCCACATATCTAGAAATGTCTAGAAATATTCATTTTCTGGAAGTGGTCTATGGATGGCACCCCAAAAATGAAAGCATTCGAAAGTATCCACAAGTCAGATTGATGTTGATTGGTTCATTTGTTGGATTCCAGGATGCCAGTGTTGGTATTGCCAGGGTGTCCAGACCCTCTCGTGTTGCTCTCTTGAATCACTTGTTTTGATTATTATGGTTAGCAATGATTCAGCTGATTTGATGGTGATTTTATTGGGGTTCATGGGTATTTATATAATAGATTTCATAGGGACATCCGTGGTTTGGTAGGTCAACAGCTTCATCTTTACAGCCACTTTTAGGCATTGTTTCACCTCATGTCAGGTTCACAGCTTTGGCACTGGAGATTGACAGGCGCGGAGCTAGGAAGTTGTTGTAGCAGGCCATACGATGCACGGCAGATGCACGGGAAGGTGATTGAAGACCTGCAAATAGCTTTGGTTGAATAGTTGAATAGGTAAACTATTTTCCAACTGCTGCAATCCCGAGCTGCAGGATGTGCGGCTGGATATTGAGGGATCATCCCACTTAGTATGTAAGTGGTTTTCATAACTTCATAAGCCTGGTAAGAAAGTCTCCTAAGTCCTAAGTAAGTATCCCTGGGTTATCCCGTTATCCCATTCATAATTGGGTTATAGGCCCACTTACTCACCTGATTTCGTTGCTGTGATGATCTATCCCAGATATGGGGCGCAGGTTGTGTTGGCGAAGCAGCGGCGCGGCGCGCCAAGTGCCACCACAGGAGTGGTTGGATTTGCAGGACAGGAGTCAGTTGGATGGCGTGGGATTCCGTTCAATCGCCTTAGTCGTTTGTTCATAGCTTTCTCAAAGATGACAGGGGGTTGGTAACTGTCCCATTTTGGGAATATTGGACATCACCTTATAGTAGCCATTATAGACCATATACCTAATGGTTGGGTGATGTTCAATGGGGACATTTAATGACCCATGTCCTGGAATGTCAGATAGAATGCCAGACAGGGGGGGTTGAACTCAAAGAGTTGTCTTTTTCTTGCTTCTCCACATTTTTGTTGGCTAAGACCATGGGAAACACCGGAAAACATGGCGCCTCCTGGGCGCTAGGAGCGCCTGTCGCCGTTGCTGTATTGCTGGGCTGCAGAGAGGCAGCTGGCACCCTCTGGCAAGAAAAGGGCCCAGCCGCAGCATTCTGAAGCACCAAACAAAAACAAGAACCGGTTGGACAACAACATGGTTGGTTCATGGGATTTCACGTGATTCTGACATTCTAAAATGAGGATAGAACCTTATATTATACTATATTATATTATATTATATTTTACTTTATTTTATTTTATTTTTATTTTTTATATTATATATTATTAAAGTTATATTTTATTATATTATATTATATTTTATTATATTATATTCTATTATATTATATTATATTTTATTATATTATATTAAATTATATCATATTATATTATATTATATTATA